GAGCTTACATCCGCACCCGCGGCCACCACATCTACCTTGTCCGTGAAGACCGTTTGCCCATGGGCCCGGGGGTGTTCGGGCAGCGAATTTACAGTGCACTAAAGGCCACGCGGCTGCCTCCGTCACTTAAAGTGCCCCCCGTGTCACCCCTGGAATACTTAGTGGAAACTGGATACTGCCTGGACAGCACCCGCCCAATGAGATCAGCTCAGCCTTTCTAGGCGACCTCATCCACGCCTCTAAGCCTCCAAGACTCCAAGCCTCTCTCTCGGCATGCTTGCGACAACTGTGTACTTGTCCTAAACACCACGACCCTTCAACGCTCAACCTATTCATCGCAAATTCTCAACACCACCGTCGTGACTGGACGATACAGCTTTACACTGCGTACGCTTGAGCGCTCGCGCCATCCTCCTACCCTTTCCTACCGAAGCTATCCGATGCAGCTCTCCGAGCAACAGCACAGGCACCCTCGACCGAACTCTATCACGACTTCCCGCGCTGCGGCATCTGCCTAAAAAGTTGCTCTCTGCATATACCTCCTCCCAATGCGGGCGGGATGCCTTCTCCAACCTCCTATCGTTCCGCGGACCCGCCAGGCTCCCCAGGGAATGATTCCGATTCAGACCTCGATCTCGACATCCAGGAGCTCGACCCTGCCACAACCACAACTGAGCGCACTTCTGGTCTCCTCCGACACGATCGCCAGACCACCGAACATCGATCGCCACGTATAGCACTGCGGAATCTACGCATGGGGAGCTCACGCCGAGCCGGACAAAAGGCCAGGGGATATGGTCAACTCGGCCAGGACCGTGATGGCACCAGCGAGGATGCTGAAGCACTTCTCGGCGAACCCGGAAGCTCCTCATCACGATACAGGGATGGGTCCGCTGGTGCAGGCTCCGACGACGACTCCCCTCTCCTACCCGGTGGCTCGCCTCCGAGGCGTCGATCCTTCGCCGGAGACAGATTCGAGCGACTCACCTCAAGCATAAGACTACCGAGCTTCATGTCGAATTCAGGGGCGCAAGAACCGGACAAGGATGATGTCCAGGACCAAGATGAAGACGATCCATCGAGCGCCCGCCTCATTGCCGTAGGGTCCTCCCAGGCGACGAGATTCCCGCCGAACCTTATATCGAACGCCAAATACACAGCCCTTACGTTTCTGCCCGTCACTCTGTATAACGAGTTCTCCTTCTTCTTCAACATGTACTTCTTGCTTGTGGCTTTATCGCAAGCGATCCCCCAATTACGGATTGGTTACCTTACGACTTACGTGGCGCCTTTGGCATTTGTACTCTTCATTACCATGGGAAAGGAGGCATACGACGATATCGAAAGACGAAGACGAGACAACGAGGCCAATGCAGAGGCATACACTGTCTTGTCTTTCGATGAGCCGGGTCGTGGCATGGCTTCGGCACAACGGACACACAAGAGGCTCAAGTCGGATTCTATGAGGAAGAAGGGCAAGAACTCGGCGGGCTTGAGAGACAGACTTTCGGATATTCAAGAGGAAGAGGAACGGGCTGAGGGAGAGGGGTCTATCGCCCAGCCATCCTCGTCTGTCCGTGAGGTCAGCCGTAAGTCGCGCGACCTTAAAGTCGGCGATGTCCTTGTTCTAGGCAAGGGTCAACGAGTTCCTGCCGACGTTGTGATTTTGAAGTGCGTCACGTCGGAAACAACTACAGAGGCGCCAGTGATGGAGGTGATCGCGGAAGAAGAGTCGTTGCTAGTCGATGCCGAAGAAGATCAGTCGAAAGCGCCTCAGATTTCCGATACCAAGGGGAAAGAACCCGAGAGCAACGAGGCTGGCGGTGGTGCCGCTGGCGAAACATTCATCCGAACTGATCAACTTGATGGAGAAACGGATTGGAAGCTGCGTCTGGCATCCCCCCTGACGCAAAACTTGACAACGGAGGAGTTTGTTCGTTTACGGGTAACGGGAGGCAAGCCGGACAGAAAGGTCAACGAGTTTATTGGCACAGTCGAGCTGCTACCCAGCAAACGTGATGCCCAAAGCCAGCAAGGGGCGCTCAACGGAGACGAGGGCAACTCGGCTCCTTTGTCGATAGACAACACGGCCTGGGCGAACACAGTCATCGCCTCGAACGCCACTACTCTTGCTGTCATCATGTACACGGGACCTCAGACGAGGTCCGCGCTGTCGACTGCGCCCTCACGATCCAAGACCGGGCTTTTGGAGTACGAAATCAACTCGCTTACGAAAATTCTATGCGCTTTAACTTTGGCGCTTTCCATCATCCTTGTGGCGCTGGAAGGTTTCGAAAATCAACAGACTGTTTGGTACATCAAGATTATGCGATTCCTCATTCTTTTCTCGACCATCGTGCCCATCAGTCTGCGCGTCAACCTCGACATGGGCAAGAGCGCTTACTCTTGGTTCATTCAACGAGACCCCGGCATTGCTGGAGCTGTTGTACGGACGAGTACAATACCGGAAGATCTGGGAAGAATTGAGTATCTTCTCAGTGACAAAACCGGCACACTGACCCAGAACGAGATGGAGATGAAGAAGATACATGTCGGCACCGTTTCCTATGCTAACGAGGCCATGGATGAAGTCACATCATACGTCAAGCAAGGATTCCACATTCAACCTACCACCGACCCCTCGTCGCACACCATGTTGATCACGCCTTCTTCGACATTTGCCAACGCGTCAAACGTGGGTGCAACTCGCACAAGGAGAGAAATTGGCACCCGTGTCCGAGACGTGGTTCTCGCCCTGGCTCTGTGCCACAACGTGACGCCAACAACAGAAGAGGAAGAGGGAAAACCCATCGTTTCTTACCAGGCTTCCTCCCCTGACGAGATCGCCATCGTTCGCTGGACTGAATCTGTCGGACTTCGCCTCGCCTATCGAGATCGCACCAGCATGATTCTTGAGTCGACGGAGAACGGCCGTGAGGTTGTGCGCGTGCGTATTCTTGACGTCTTCCCTTTCACCTCCGAGGGTAAGCGCATGGGCATCATTGTCCAGTTCTTCGATCAGACTCAGTCGACGGTGCCGAACCTCGCCAACAGCGAGATCTGGTTCTATCAAAAGGGCGCTGACACAGTCATGAGCCCCATTGTGGCTGAGAACGACTGGCTCGACGAAGAAACCTCCAACATGGCTCGAGAGGGCCTGCGTACACTTGTCGTTGGCCGGAAGCGCTTGTCCTACGAGCAGTACAAGGAGTTTACCGGCAGTTATCAAGCAGCTTCTTTGGCTATCGCTGGACGAGACGCTGGTATGCAACGTGTTGTGGCCCAATACCTTGAGCGTGACCTGGAGCTTCTCGGCGTCACTGGTGTAGAGGACAAGCTGCAAAAGGATGTCAAGCCATCTTTGGAGCTTTTGAGAAACGCAGGTATCAAGATTTGGATGTTGACTGGTGACAAGGTCGAAACAGCTCGATGCGTCGCCGTCAGCTCCAAGCTTGTCGCTCGTGGCCAGTACATCTACACAGTTTCCAAGCTTAAGAAGAAGGATAACGCGCAAGATCACCTCGATTTCCTTCGTGGCAAGACAGATTCTTGTCTCTTGATTGACGGCGAGAGCCTGGCCCTCTTCCTCACCCACTTCAGGATCGAATTTGTCTCCGTGGCTGTGCAACTCCCGACGGTTGTTGCATGTAGATGCTCGCCCACGCAGAAAGCCGAGGTTGCCAAGCTGATTAGGGAGTACACCAAGAAGAGGGTGTGCTGTATTGGTGACGGAGGCAACGATGTTTCCATGATTCAAGCAGCAGACGTCGGTGTTGGTATTGTTGGCAAAGAAGGTCGACAAGCTAGTTTGGCGGCAGACTTCTCGATTGAGCAGTTCTACCACCTGACTAAATTGCTTGTCTGGCACGGGCGCAACAGTTACAAGCGCAGTGCTAAGCTCGCTCAGTTTGTCATCCATCGTGGCTTGATCATTGCGGTCTGCCAGACAATGTACAGTATTGCCATCAAGTTCGAGCCCGATGGTCTCTACAAGGTATGCCAACTTCTTCTGGTTGCGCACATCCATTTCTTTTGCTAACGTCTACTTGTAGGATTGGCTTCTCGTCGGCTACTCTACCGTGTATACTGCATTCCCCGTTCTCTCTCTTGTCCTTGATAAGGATGTGGACGAAAACTTGGCAAACTTGTACCCGGAACTGTACAAAGAGCTCACTTCCGGCCGTTCCCTGTCTTATCGTACCTTTTTTGTCTGGGTTGCTGTTTCGATCTATCAAGGCTGTACTATCCAAGGTCTGTCACAGCTCTTGACCGAAGTCGACGGACCCAAGATGGTGGCGGTCTCGTACACCGTACTAGTTCTCAATGAGCTTCTCATGGTCGCCATCGAGATCACGACGTGGCACCCTGCCATGATCATCTCCATTGTCGGCACGTTTCTGATTTATGTCGGCTCCGTGCCGTTCCTTGGCGGTTACTTTGATCTCCAGTTCATCATCACTTTGTAAGTCTACTTGCGTCCATGCCCCATCAGAAATCCGTAGACTAACACGATGCAGGGGATTCATCTGGCGCGTCCTCGCCATCGCGGCGATATCTCTCATCCCACCCTATGCGGTGAAGCTCATCAGGAGAACGATGAAGCCGCCCTCGTATAGAAAAGTGCAGAGCACGTAGACATTAGCGTGTTTAGTTATCATTGTTGTATGAGATCTTCTTTGTATCTATCTTCAAAGCTCTGTGTTAGGGCGTCTGGGATCGGTGTCAGCGAACGGATCCGCGGCCATTCAAAGGGAACGGCCGCTGCGGTTTTTGCATTATTAGGCGGAGTTTGACGGGGGGACCTGGGAAACTGTTCTTTCCCAACTTTGTACGGCATTATTTGGATGGAACTATCGACAGCCCAGAAGAATTAGACAGCGTTATGGAAACTTGAGTTTATTGGGCAACATCCTGCTTCATTTCTGTGCCTCGATGTGTTTTACATGGCTTCGCTCTATGAGATGATGGTACATAAACTCCAGCTTTGGTGAGATCTACTCCTACAACTTGAGAACAATCCAATCCTTCAAGATATCCGGGTTCCGCCTCTGCATCGCGCCCAACATACCCCCCACAGGCCCTTGCAGCTGCCCGCCGTCCCGCCACAGCTTGGCGCCCGCGTACGCCTGGACGAAACCCTCGGGCCCGGAAACCACAAAGACGTTCTTTCCCCGCGGCGCGGCGTCGTCGGCGGAGCAAGCGCAGTCGTCCTGCTTGAAGAGGCTTCTCTTCCCGGCGTTGGGCGCGCCGTCGACCATGCCGACGTGTGCTGTCTGGGAGTGGAATTGGCAGCCCTCGACGGCGTGAGTCGGCGTCGTACCAGCAGAGGTGCTGGGGGAGGATTGGAGAGTGAGCGCCGCGGCGAGGTCTACTTCGCGTACGGCGGTGCCTTCTTGGTCTACTACCACGCGTACGTCGAGCTTGTCGCCGTATTTTACTTTGAGGGCGAGGAGGTCCCTGCTTATAGGCGAGGGGGCGGCGAGTGTATCTGCGGAGAGGAGAGCCTCGGCCTGGGATCCGGGGGTGTTTGTCGATGATGAGGAGAAGGGATTCCACCAGCTTCCCGACGACGACGATGACGACGGCTTCACTTGTGGCGGCACGGTTTGGCCCCCGACCAGCTGCTCCCGAATCTCATCGCGGCTCCTGACGGCCCAGAAGATGGTCATGGAGGGTCCGTCTGCGAGCGGGAGGACGGCGTGCGCGGCTTGTAGAGCGCTGGCGATACCTGTTCCGCCTGCGAGGAATACGACGCGGTCGCCTCGTTTACCTAGGCGGGAGCGGAGGTCGAATTCGCCGTGTGGACCGCGGAGCTCGACTTTATCACCCTTTGTTGCTGGGCCACCTGATGGTGAGGAAGGGGGTGCCAGACGGCTCAGATACGTTGAAACTTCACCCCCTCGCACGGCGCGAACGTAGAGGCGGAGGGTATCCTCATCATACGAGGAGCCCGGAGCGGGAGGGAGGGGCGTGTACTCCCTCGCGACCTGGATCTGGGGCTGCTTCACCTCCACGCACCAGAGGTCGAAGATGTCCCAGAGAGAGGATACGCTTGGGACGTTGCTGCTCTTTGACGGCGGTGCCTTGAGGGTTAGGATGAAGGAGGTCGGGGAGACCTGCTCGCGGGCGACGACGTCAAAGGGGATGAACTTGCGGGCTGTGCCGAGGGCTGTTTGCTCTGCTGGGTCGTTGGATTGCGGGGTGGAGGGGAAGAGCCATTGGGCGTCCCATGCTATGCCGCCCACTGCGAGGAGGAGGAGAACGGGGAGGTAGCGGGGGCTTATGAAGGTTCTGGCCCTGCGTTTGGGGGGGCGATGGGGTTGAGGGGCGGTGGGTGAAGGTATCGTGGATTTGAGGCGGTGGTGACGCGTTGTTGTTGAGGATGAGAGTGCGGATGGTGATGTTGGTGTCGTTCGCCGGTTCGCCCAGGCTGAAGAATGGCGAGATGGTTGTGTGAGATGCAGTGAAGTTGTTGCCGGTGTCGTTGACCGGGATGTAGCTGCGGCGGCCGGAGTGGTACGGAGCTGAGGTCGGATGTGAGTGAGTGAGCGCCCGGCGATCGGCCGGAGAGCCGCACCGCCGGCAGAGATGAATGTAGAAGCCCCCATCAGCTTCTCGGCACCACCTGATCTGACTTGGAGTAGAAACTTTCTGAACAGATCGGCGGGTAGCTTCACTGGTAATCTCTTTCGAAGTGACGTGCAGCGGATAGTGACGAAAGTCGATGATGAAAGCTCCGAGTGGGTTAGTTTTGCTGAGCGAAACTGAGATGCGCACGGTCACGTGAGACCCTTGTTTGACTGTGGTCAAGAAACACTTACACATCCGGGATCGATGGACATATTTGTTTGATATTATTTCGACGTCGTCAATACTGTATTGAATGTAAATCTAGATTCAAGTAGTTTTGGGTATGGTGAGGTAGAGTAAGGTGTCCCACTTCGTCATTGGGTCTTACAGGACGCTGGCACAAATCCTACATGAGTGTGACTTGAATCAGAAATCGCATCAGGTTCCTCGAGGTAAGGGATACTCAACTATGCAGCATTTTCAAGCTTCAAGGTATATAAGTTGGTATATCAGTAGCGGTCAGAATGATCTATCTGCTGTCCCTATCCGGCTTATGGGAGTATTGTTTTCTGTTGGTGACACTATCCCAGATCCTTCAGAACAATCCCTAGTTCTCACAAGGTTTCTGTCAAGTACTGGGCGTGTGGCACCTGAAAACCGGCTCTCGCACTACTGTGGGTAGGTGTAAGTGACCTCATCAGTTCGCACACTCAATCTTGCAATCCAGCTAAGCCATGCTCTCAAATCACGCGATCAGAGCATAAGAACCCATCTGTAAATGAAGATGGCCGACAGTCTTTTGACCATCGAACTGGCGAACCTTGGAGCCGGATTACTGACTGATGGCATTTGCGATGTGTGAAAGTTTACCCCCCAGTTACGAGCAGAGAACTACAACCTCAAGTCCAGAAGTATCGTCCCTCTCTTCTCGGTGTTTGAGGATATCAGTACTCACGAATACGTGCACAGGGATGGACACTATAGGGAGAAGGTGAAGGTGGTTCTAAAAAGTTGCACCTCGGATAGAGAGTCTTAACGTGTTTTCACAGTCTTGGTCGTTATGCTTTTGGTATTCTTTTATTATTCTTTCTTTTTCATTAGAGCATATCGAAGTAGGACTCCGCCGTTTCTTATTTGCATCGGCATTCCTTAACGCCATGACCCTCAACTGACATTTTCAAAGGTTGGCTGCGGGCTGATTGTGCTCTTAAGCAAGTCAAAGCTTACTACGTTTGGGCTCTCAAGTTTGTCGTCATCATCAGACTAATTGAACGATCTCACATCACTCTTTATAACTTCATACCACTCTTCATGGCCTCAAGTCACTCTTCATAGCCTCGCATCACCTTTTACGGTCTCGTATCACTGGTCACAGCGTTACCAAAGAATGTTTACTCACGAATACGTTCGGGGACACGAGTGTCGTAGCGTGAAGGATGCCTCGATCTTGCTCGATGGCGGCCGACCTTGGGCTCAAGAATCAACAACAAGTAGAGCGACCTCTCTCCCCTGGAGCGCAAGAAGCTGCGTCTCCCTCTACCTTGATGAGGCCAGAAAACTATCTTTGTTCGAGGGACTGGAGGAGAGGTCGAGAGCCCTGGTTGTATAGCATCTGAGTATCTAGTGGGCGGTCTTTATGATGATGAACGTGTTTCTGCCCTTGAAGTCTCTCATGCGAATCTTGAAAGTCTGCGTCTAGGATATTTAAATCTCCACCCAGTCTGAGAAACACAAAACCCCTTGTGCCATCGTGGAGATGTTCTGCACTCTATGTTATGTTACAATTAACTCTTACACCCGGCCAGCTTCCCCATGCAAACACATCCACTCTATCAGAGCCTGATGATCTTTCTATCCTCATCAATACCACCCCGGAACATGTCAGCAACGACTCGGCCCCCGAGAACCGTCTCGTTGACGATACCCTCAACGTGCTTCGGCTCAACCCGACCATACCAGATCCCCTTCCCGGCCAGAGGATGCTTCTCCCCATCAGCCATAAGCTGTCCGGGCGGGATATAGATGATGATGTTCCCCGCAAACTTGTGCCCGCCAATATGGCTAATCAACCCAACCCTCGCCGACATCTTCTGATACCTCCTCTCACCATCCTCAGACGCCTCAGGCGCCGCGATCCTCCCAGTCTCCCCTTCACCACTCTCATCAACCACAACAGGCCCCCTCAAAACACCAACCCCAACCCCCTCAAACCTCCTCTCAAACTCATCCCTCAACACGGGCCCCATGACGCCGCACCGCATATCCCGCCCGCCGTGCCCGCAAATCAGCACCAGCACCTCCTCCACGTCCCGGACCCCGTACAGCAGCGACCGGTAGGCCTCCTTGCGCGTCAGCCGGTCCCGGTGGACGGGCGACAGGCTCCCGTCGTGCATCTTGTGCAGCTTCTCGGGGAGCAGGTAGCCCTTTGCGAGGGCCTGGACGCTGTCGAAGCTGACGCGCGGCAGGAAGGGCACGTACTTGAAGCTCGGGAGGAGGTAGGCGCTCGTGGTCTGCAGCTCGCTCCGCCGGGGCACGGAGGAGGGGAAGGAGGCGTTTAGGGTTGAGATGTTGTGCCAGGGCTGTTGGTTTGGCGGGAGGTTTCACTTACCGTCAGCCCAAGGTGCTCTCATACAATCTTATATAGAATTTCACAAGAGAGGCAAGAAAGAATCTACATGGCACCAAGAGACATGTCCAACGATGCTCCAGAATGTGCTGAGCCTCAGAAACCCGCGAGGCACCTACACTCGTACATGCGTCCCAAGGCTGAACTACTCCATAGCAGAAGAAGAATAAAATGTGTAATGAGACTGTCGAGAAAAACTTACATCGCTATACTCCCCCCCGCGGCCAAACAACTCCTTCAAGTCCGCCGCGAGGTTATCCCCGCTATTCTCCTCCTCGATCCTCGACACCCAATCGTCCTGCCCCGTGCACACGAGCACCTGCTCGGCATACCCCGAGACGACGCCGTTGAGCGGGCTCTTGAAGTCAATGTCCAAGCCCTCGGGCATCGCCGGCGTCGCGGCGCACTCGCACGTCGGCGACGGACATGTCGGGACGAGCTCGAACGGCGGCGGGGGCGCCGACGGCCTGCTTGCCTGCGGCCTCGCCTTCGACTTTGGCGATGCTGAGGATGACCAGAAGCCCACGCTGGTGGTGAAGGTGCGCTGCTGCTGCTGCTGCTGCCGCCGCCGCGTCGGTAGCGATGACGTTGATGACGACACTGACGGGGATGAGGTGGCCGCCGCGCGATGGCCTCGCGTGAGACGCGGTGCGGCTCTTGCTATCGAATGCATCATGTCCCTTTGGATATGTGATGTACGGATACGTCTCTTCGCCAATGTAATGCCAAGTGTGTAACTCTTTTACTATGCCGGGGATCCAAACGAGATGCCGGGCGTGCGTGTACCAGAAGGGGGTGGTGGGTGGCGTCCGCAACACCTCACTCAGACAGACACAGAGCCGCGATCGACGTCACCAATCAAACAGAAAGAGAATAATAAAAAAACGGGTCTATTGTCATCAAAAGGCACCCCTTGCGATGAACAATACGACAAGTTTCCGCGGGATCGTAAAGAGGTTGCCCCAGTGAGTTGAGTGAGTGCGAAACTTCGCAAGATGAGGCGCAGATTGGTAATTGGCAATTGCAGACAGGTATCCATATCTCTCTCGGTAGTTGGTTGACTCAAAAAAGAGTCAAGCCCCCTGCCTACGCCGCCCCCTCGGCGCTCGCTGCGGACCTTGGCCCCGGCGCCGAGCGGGAGTGAGAGAGAGACCGGGACACCTCGAAAAGGCTACCCGAAAACCCCGGCGGGGATTTTTTTTCTGTGGCGCCCGCGTAGCGATGCGATTCATGCGGCTGTCTGATCACTTCTCCTGTTGGTGGGCTTCTACGCAACAATACCTACCGGTACCCTTAGTAGAATGGTAATGTTAGGTAATCCCTCATTTCTCACTGGCGCGGCCGATAGCCGGCGGGGAGATGGAGAGCCCACCGTCTGTTCAGTACCGATGTATGTAGTATACGTAGGTAGGTAGGTACCTTGGCCTGTAAGTTCCCACGTTCCCCGATGTTTTCCTGCTTCTTTGAGAACGGGTATCGCCGGCCGGCCGGTACTGTAAAAAGTTTATGTCCGGCTGACACATCCCTATCATTCCGCTACGGGCACAACTTCCTCTATTCCACGATACTACATATCTCCCGTTGTCGTATGCGGCTTTGCACGTGAAAGCAAATTTCCGCATCCGAACCCCGTCTGCCCGTCTCCAGGGGGTGAGAGTTGCTCCCCCGGGGGGGGGGGGGGGTGGTACTCCGTAGTCCCCTTGGTGAGGCCCGGGGGAGGGTGAGGTAAGCAAAAACGCAACCGGGTCCCGTCATGGGTGGTTCATCCGCCTCGGAGCCGAATTACGGATTACACCATGATCCCTCTGTCGTTCCAGTACGGAGTACTTCGTACCGTGCTAAGAGGACCTTACCGAGTTCGGGCGGGAAACCGATTGAGTGAAAGACAAACGAGCAGCGCACGGGCAGAAAATAGATAGGTAGCATTCCAGGTTTCTTGTCCACTAGGTAAGTAGTATCCGTAGCGCGCGCGGGAAACCCTTCACCCCTGGCTTGAATCCATGGAACCTATTTGATTTTCTATCCGCCCATAGTCAGGGATTCCACAACTTCACGGCCAGGGCGTGGTAATGTGGGAGACCGGACAGACAGACAACAGACGCAGAGAGGAAATATGGGCAAAACAGGGCCCTCATTGTGAAAAGGGTTTGGTTGGACAATAAATACATCATTCCAGCGCACATTTACCCGGCATTTCCCATTCAGAACCCCCCGAATTAGGCTGGGGGCTCGGGGGGCTGGACCTGAACCTGCACTGCACTCTTGTTAGACGACGGGATACCGAAGAACAAATCACATTTTCTCTCTCTCACACAATCTCAAAATCTCAAATCTCGATTTTCGCCAACCATTACCAGCTACAACGACCGGGTATCGCTCCCGGAGTGAATGCAAATCTCACCCGACTGGAGCGCAACCGTTCAAGAGGACTTTCCCCGAGTACCTAGACTAGCAAACAGTGAACACTAGCAAAAACCGTCGGCGCACCGTGTGAAGCGGGAAAAAAGGGCTCATGATCGTCCTGTCGTCCAGTCCACGGCCCGGAAGTCAACGGCATCTAGCCCAGGGTGCCCCCCCCCCCCCAAAAGCTTGGCGATCGCGACACAAGGAACGGAGAATTCGCAATCAACCTATTGATAGATGGCTCACAAAAAGAATGACGCGCCCACTAGAACTATACGAATATAGATAAGATCCGTATCCGTTCAACTAACTATTTAACAGCGGATTATCCGTAGCCCAGTGTGAGAGACCTCAGATCCGGTTATTCCCATACCCCGTGTCCGTGTCTGACTTGACTCTGGCACCTCTGCACATCATGGCCCAAGCTTCCGAGACCATGTCTTGAAAAGCCGGCAGGCAGGCATGGGAAGGGGAAGGGGGGGGAGAAGCGGAGTGGATTGAGACATGGGAAATCGAAAGGGCAAGACACAGACTACCAGAACCGGGCGAAATCAAATCATTGTGCGGCTCTTTTCGGGAAGCGGGAGTTTTAAGGTAGGGAGCGACCAACTGAGCAAGAAAAGGGTGGAATGCGTGTAGTGGTCCGCGGATGGCATGGCCCACTGGGATCATGAAATAAATGAATGGGATGGAGGGGGCTGAGAACTTGGGAGAGACGATCGGAGGAGGAAACAGAACACACACCCTCTCTCAAAAGCCGCTTTTCTCTCTCCCCTTCCTAATTAACATCCCTCATCTTCCTGTAAGTGATCATGTACTCCGTACGTACAGACAGTAAGGGTACAGATACCGTTGACCTGGCAAGACCCCTCGACGACTTTCGTCTTCCGCGCCTATCCAAGCCCTCCGCGTACCGTACCCATGTAGAACAATCAACACAACAACGGCAAAACCACAAGTATAGGGGGTGACTAGAAAGCAAAGATACAAAAAAAAAGATGGGATGAAAAAAAAAAATGCAGAAAAGTAACCGATCCCTCCCCCAAGATCCAGCAGGCTAAAAGCCAAGGGTACGGGAAGAAGAGAAGAAGAAAAGAAAAAGGGGGAGGGGGGGGGGGGGGCAATGGTGATTGAGACTTTGAGTTGTTTGGAACTTTTCCTCCTTCTTTTCTTCCTATTTCTCTCTAGTAAAATCTGCACATCTGCAGAGTTGTATTTACCGAGACGAGACCAACAGCAAAGGGGAGAAGGAAAGAAAAAAAGAGAGACACCGCATTGCATTGCATGTCGTATCTGTTTTCGTGCAGCACCGCGAGATTGGACTCTCCACTGAGGGATGCCGAGGGGCAACAAAGTACTGCGTACATACCTACTTGCTTCAGAATCTGCGTGGTAAGGCATTTTCTGCACCATCAGCAGGAGCTGACGGTGGTGGTATTCGTCTCCACGACCGGTGTGTGGTTCCGCCTCACCGGTCCGACAACCCGATTCAGGTCGTCGTTGGTTCGCTTGCGGTTCCGCTCCAACGACTTTTTGTTCGCCAAGAACTAGCTCAGGTATCCGTAGGCAGGATCAAGACTAGACAAGGTTCCGTTGAACGTGCAAGTGAAGGTTGATCGAGGTTACAAAAACTTTGCAGAGAGTTATGGCAAAAAACAAAAAGAAAACGAAAAAAGACCGCCGTCATTAGCCCCCGTCGTCTTTCCTCTCTCTTTTCTGGCCCTAGGTACTCGTGTGGTGTAGGTATCGGCTGAGACCGCCCTCTTTCTCAGCCCCAGTTCCTGTCTACCGCTGATCATGGTCAAGTACCTGAGGTAGAGTTGCATCCCGGGATTTAGACGCACCGTTGAGAAGCCGAGCCGACAGATACCGCATGCCGCCTTCCGCATGCCAATCATGCGACTGACCTGAGACATGCAGACCGATCCCTCCCCCATTCTGCAGTGTTCACGGTACAAAGGGATGACATAGGGCAGAACAAGATGGAGACTGTGTGCGTGCGTTCGTGCGTATGTGTGTGGTTCGGCCAAAGTGCTTGGGTAGTGTCTTCTCATCGCCCCTCTTTCGTCTACATACTGTAGGTATCGTGTTTACATGTAATGTTGCCTAGGGGTGTCCTCCATAGGCTGCCTGCCAAGATTCTCTCAACCACATGGGGCACACGTCCCGTTCCTCTTCTCAGCTGCGCTCGGCCGTTGCGTTGTTTCCTTGGATTGATATCCTCATATACAGGGTATATAATGTTACATAGATGAACGAGAGCAACTGTCTGCGTATACAGCCGTATGTTGTCTCTCCGATCTCGTGTTAAAAAGCAGAAAAAATAGCAATTGTCCAAATGCGCCCTCCAACTCCGTGAAATGCAATGCAGATGTGAAAATGATAAGAATGACAGACAACCATGGTTGCGGAAGTATATGTCTTTCGGCCCCGCGTGTAAACAATGTCCACGATAGGCCAGTATGTCGTGTCCATCGAATCCTTCATTTGCCAGCATTTGCCCTCGTTTTCGTTGGCGAACACTGCTGCGCCTACCGGTGGTGTTGCTCCGGGCTAAATATCTCGCAGAAGACGTAGAGCGTCATGTCGATGTTCCAGTGCGGCCCGATGAACTCGTGCCTCGTCCCAAACCATACTTGCAGCTTCTACTAGTGCGTTTGCAAGGCCAATTGATCCAAAAGCATAGGAAGGTCTGATAATAAACCCTGGGCAGTGAGAACGTCGGCAGCCTCCAGCATCACACGGCTACTGGTTAGCTTCCTCTTGGATCCCCGAGAGGTATTGCATCCGTTTTGCTGCCGATATTCGGCTCGAGGCGCACGAGTGTCGGTGAACCTTTACGAGACCGTGGTGGAACAGAAGATGAATCGTAAGGAATGTGCTGAGGGTCCCAGCCTCAGCAGCCAGGTCCATATTCCTTGGGCTGTAGGTGAACTGTGAACTGTCCAGGAAGTGATTTACGCTAGCTGAGTAGACTTCTGACAGAGCTTTCAACAATTGTTGCTGGCTCTCCATCCGAGGACAGACCGTGTTCATTCCTGTAGACGCTAGACATGATGTCTCTCCAGATGACCACCAGCTGGAGGAGATAGGCTGGTAAGGGTAAACGCTGATTCGCCACTTTGGACGAGCTCGAACCGACGGCCGAAAAGAAAGGTGCCTGAGACGCCTGTCGACTTTGAAAGACATCCGATTCGCATGGTAACCGGACGAATATGTCTAAAGGATTCAAACTGCCAAGACGAACGGGAAATATGCCTTTGAGTCGCTCGAGGACAAAGCAAGCCCAGTATGTCCGCCTCCGGCTCTTAGCAAAGCCTTCTCTATCCAAGCCGTATGGATCAGTTTTCTGGCGAGAGTCGAGCGATTTGTCGAGTTCTAGGTTTAGCTGAAGGAAGATGGCTATCGAGATGGCCGCATTGATCAAATCAATTGCTTCGCTGGCTCTAGACGTAGACATGTAACAGACCGCCAGGAGTGGTTGAGATTGCGCAAGCTGAAGGCTGGGTGGGAGCTGTTGCTGCGCATACCGTGCGACATGAGCGTATTCGGAGGCGATTGTTCTTGGTCCACCTGACAAGGTGATTCCGACGGCGAGGATGCTATAGGTGAGCATCAGGTCTTCTAAAGACTTTGTGTTAGCATTACCAGTCAGCCTGAATTTAAACGGTATCTTGTGCAAGAAACAAGAGGCCATGGTGCTCTCTGTATGTACTAAGGAGGGAGAGATTACGGTGCTGACTGACTACGGGCCGGAAACATACGGGTCTGGTTGCCATGCTCGGTGAAGCACGTCCTCGTGGATCCGAGGGAGCTCAATTGGCTGGCGGTGTTGCCAGGCGTTGACCTTTGCCGTCTCGGGCGTCCGGCTCATTAAGGCGGAAGAGTCGCTCGGCATCGAGGGGTACGAGTCGAAACCGAGGCGCATCCTCTTGTGAGGCATTGAGGGCTCTGGGCTGGGCTGACGGTACGTGGTGCGAGGAGAAACAGACGCGCTGGAGTTGCTGCCAGGTCGGTGCATGTCGTTCGAGTTGGCCGAGCCTCCCAGACGTCTCAAGTCCTCTGGTTCAGCAGGAGGCGTTGATGGGGAGGTGTTGTGGCCACCTCGTGGTCTGTAAAAGCCATCTCCATGTCAGTAAAGTAGTGAGAAGTTGACGAGCTGCTTGTTGGAACCACTTACGCGTTCTTGAACTTGCAGATCCGGCCAAATTTCTCGCATTGAACGCAGCGAGGATAGTCGGGGTCGCACTTGATTTTCTTCTCCCTGCAGGTGACACACGCAATCGCCAGTCTCTTTCTTGGCTTTCCTGCCTTTGTCACACCCCAGTGAGCGTTGACTGCCTCGCCATCAATAACCGTCTTGCAGTGACTTCCGTCATCGTAGAAATAACACATCCCTTCACCCGGCACTTCGGCGGCACGAACGAATCGTGGGAGAAAGTGGCTCCCCGTCCATATCTTAGGGCCGAGACCATCCTTCGATGGGATTCCTTCCGAGGTCGTCGTACTGGCAGACGCCGATGCCTGCAAGAGACCAGGTCCAGAAGGGGAGCGCTGATCCCGGTAAGAAGAGCCAGAGTCTTTATTGCTGGAATACTGGTAGGACATCCTGTCATGTGAAGCCCGTAGTGGGGGCTGGTTCTCTCTGGATACCAGGGCGTACTCGTGCTTTCCAGCGTCATGGTGCATCGACCACTTGCTACTCAAACCGACGTCAGATCTCGACTCGGGACGCATGTGTTCGGATTCGCGGTATCTCGGTGACCCAGGGCCGGAGAAGGAACGGGATAAGCCATGCAAGGCCTGCCTCTCGTGGTCATATCTGGCATCGTAGGTACTCCGTGGCTGGGACATCGTTGGAGAGCTTTCCTGAGGCGGGAAGTACGATGTGGCATAAGAGCGATCATTGTGAGGTTGCGGCATACGCGGGCGGTCCAAGGGAGACGTCGCCGGGTAAGGGGCCGGCCGCTCGGTCAGCGGAGAATGCAACGGCCGGAGTGGTGGAGGAGGCCCAAACAGACTGCTCAGTGATGGCAGTTGCTGGCGAGGAGCGCTTTGTGTCGAATCCTTACGGGACGAACCGCCTTCAGCACCTTTGCCGGCAGTCGACACATCGGCCGCCGAGCCATGTTCGTAGTTGGGCATGGCAGGGGATATGGGACCAAACCTGGTGTCCCAGAGCTTTTCGGCAGGAGGAGATGGCCTGGAGGAGTAAGATGATGATGATGGGCTAACCAGCCCGGGCGGAGAGTCTGGGGCGGCCAAACGGGGATGAGGTTCCAGAGCTAGTATACCCATTGAGAAGGCGAATTGAAGCCGTAGATGGGAGAGCCGTTTGGCATTGGCGACCTTGAGCACCTCGGGATGCAGTTGAGTCGAAGTCCACGGCCTCGACAGGCAAACAGCAAAGCCGGGAGAAGGCACGGGCAGGTTATATTGCTCAGGTCAAGATTCAAGCTAACAAAACCGGGCTGGCACACAGCTGGTATTAAGGTTTTATGCCACGTCCGGGGTGGCTTGAGAGAGAGGAGTCCAATAACCAAAGGTCGTCAAAGATGTTCGTATAGGAATGCGGAGTGTCGGTGATATGGCGAGATCGATGAGACGGTTGATTTGAGAAGTGCTTCACGTCTCTTGTCGGCAACGGTATCCGATCAAAGTTGGACGTGGTTGACTGGTCGTTCAAGGAGAGACAAGTAGGACGGAAGGAGGAAGAAGAGGGCGAGTGAGGGTAGGATATAATGGAGTGATGGAGCCGGGTGGCTTTTTGAGCAGTAGGGCAGGCGCGGAGAGCGCCTCAAGGTATGTACATCCTATTTACCACCCAAATGTACATACGTTCACGGGAGCTGTTGCCCAGTTGCCCCCCTTCGGCCACACTCATCGTAACGAGCTGCGAGTGAGATAGACCGAGGGGCCCAAAGGAGACACTAAGGAACAGGACCAACAGACTGGATTGGCTTGGCTCGTTAGATTGGGGAAGGGAGCCGGAAGGGGCACCGATAGAGTGCTGCAAGTGTACACGACGGGTAGGAAGTACCGTTCGTTCTAGGCGCACACACGTGCGGTGCGTCTTCCATGACCCTTGCCCGTGTCTCCGCCATCCTTTCGGCTTGGCTAGGATCATGGATGGGGGGGTTAAAAGCCAAGCTAATTCGACTTAGCGTCTCGTCGGCACCGACGGCATGGCGTGGGACAGTGGTCTCGTCGACGGTTGCGAGAGGGAAGACGAGTCTCTCTCTCTCTGTCCATCTCTCCGGACCATGTACTTTGTGGTGTATGCATACCTACACCACAGTGTAGAGTACGTATCTCGGAGGGAGACACAGCTCGCATTCCCTCATGGCATTAGTCTGACGGATAGGGCCTGTACCCAGCGTTGCAGCGCAAAAGGAACAGCGATGGTAAAATGGGGCAGTTGGGTCAAGTTATGCTCGATGAGGGAACCCTGGCTGCATGTTTACCAGGGTCCAGGAGAGAGAGTGGATGATGGGGGGTGAGTTGCAGCAGAGGGGTGACATGGGAAGCAGAGAAGAAAGAAGCCGCGAAGGGAGAGCTCCCGGTACATAGACGCTCTTGGAGGGCTGGTCAGGGATGATCAAGACGTGGTAGGGGGCTTTTGCCTTAGGGATCCTTGGAAGCCGGGGGGGAGGGGGGAACGGGAAGAATAAGACGGGGGAGGCAGCGAAGGCGACAACGTGCGAGGCTTGGTCAAGGTCTGACGAGGGTGCAAATTCCAGCAACGACATGAAAGAGAGTACAATACTTTGTACTGGAATGAGGGCATGAATCCTTCAAGCAGAAGTGTCTACAAACATATGGGCCAAAAGAGAAGAAGTGATAGATTTCGGAGCAGGAGGAAGAAGTTCAGGACTCCCTTCAGCATCTTGGTTTCGGATGTCTTGAATCGCCTCTGCTCATATGTTACTGGTACATGTAAAGACAAAATGCAAAAGGCAAAAGACACGTGAAGCTAGACAAGATTGCCAGACTATGGATATTGGCTAAACCGGGGCCGATGCACTGCAGCGGCGGCGGCGAGTGCTTCGTGTCATTCTTCGTTGTTTTGCTTGTTGGACGTCTGAAGGATGCACGATGAGGGTCAATATTCCCTGACGATGGCCCACCCAGGATGAGCCCAGATGGCGGCATGGACGTAACGAGATAGGCTCGGACTGCCGGGCGAGAAAAGGAAATAACGAGAACGGTGTGTCGGTTGTTGGTTCATTCCAAGAGAGGTGGTTGTGGATCTCCGCGCGGGGTTTGGTCTCTAACAGATACCCATCACGTTAGGCCTGAGATTGTGAAAATGACGAAGAGATAAAGTAGGTATGTAGTTGGGTTGGCCGCGTTTGTCAATGCACATATAGTACGTTCGTGTTGTACATACGGATTCTCATAGGTATAAAGTATGATTGATGATTGTCCGGTAGACTTTGGATGAACTCTGGTCGAATCGGCCCAATCCCAGCACAGATATATTATGTTGGGGAGTTAGGTTTACCCAAACGCTGTGCAGTTTGTGCATCGGATAGAGTTGCTGGCCCGCTGGCCTTCTTCTTTTCTCTAGTCAATACAAAACCGGGTCATCAACCGCAATGAAGCAATGGGAGGACTGGTGAGAACTGAGAAGGAAGAAAAGGTACTTGACCATCCAGTGTGGGAGTCTGTGGCGCAAAAGTACCTACCTGCCTGTCTTGGGAGGGACTAAAGTAGTTCTTACAACGTCCTTGCGGGCTCCATGACGACAAGGTTGGATCCCCTGCAGCGATAGCAGAGGCTAATAAGACGAGTCCGGCATGTCTTCATTAGGCGGATCCCATCCCCCTGGGTACACTGTGACGGTACGGGGGCTGCGAAGATCTGGACCGGACCTGAGCTGGCCTGCAGCCGGCAGCGCAGCGTGCAGCGAGGGCAGAGAGGAGCTCAGTTCGGCGTGATAATGGAGCTCAAGAGAAGGAATTCCGCACCGAGGCTTGCCGAACCATGCACAAAATCTGCACATGTATCGTGTTTTCAAGTGCTGTAACAAACGACATCAACCATTATTATTCTTCATTCGGATTCTTCTTCGTGTTCTTGTGTCATCGTATGATCTGAGGGGCCGTTGCCTATTTGCAAACCCATAGATCCTCTCTTCATTTCGATTTCGTGAAAACATCCGAGGCGCATATCTCGGAGCAGTGCTGAGGGAAGGATGGAGAGTAACAACCATATGACTGGCCAGGCGCAGTGATAGGTATTCAGCAATCAGACAGAGCCTTTGGCCAAGATCAGTGCCTGCCGACAAAACTCTTGTCTTGGCGGCGGATTTCGCAGCCTCTCAGAGTCTTGGATTGACGATCAACTGGCAAGACAAGACAAACCAAGGACGAGACGTGGTTTTCGGGCTCGGTAACAGCCCGCCAGCCAGACGTCAATGGCAGTAGCATCGACGCTAACAGACAGGGGAAAAAGAGAGGCAGGCTAGAGCCAGTCGTTGGTCTTTGTCGGTTGTGTGTCATAACGAAAATCATTAGTGATGGCGCCGCTGGCCCGCTTCAGTGTTTAGCGTCCATGTTCATCCATCCTTGCGGTTGGGGACGGATAGGTTGCCCCCCATTCGTTCTTGATGTCGGTAGCTGGGAGTTTTCCGTGGCTCCGAGTCCGACTTGCCCGTCCGTTGTTGGATCCGCCGTCATTGGGACCGGCCGAAGGTCTTGGCCTCTGCAGTTTTGCAGCCGTAAACGAGGTGCCATAGGAGCGTTATTTCCCCCTATTTGCCTCATAGTGGCAAGATACAGTATCCGTAGTTGAGAAATCCTTGAGAGGAACATTTGGTGTCTGCACTGTCGAGCACGAGGCGAGGGAAGATCTTGGCTAGGGTGATGATGGAAAGCCGCCTGTAAGCAAGAAAGAAGGCCGCCACCAGGCTCAGGGCATTCCATTCCATCTGGGACCCTCATCTCGGCGGCGTCGGCGGATTTTGCGACTGCATGTGGCGGCACCGAGGCATGTACGGAGTAGGTATTCATAGACAGCGCCAACCAAGTGCAGTGCATGTTGACAGTTGGACAGCATGAGGTTGGCATGGTTGGCAGATGTGGTTATGCTTCCAAAGAGTCGCAACGGACCGGTCGACGCCGCAGTTACTCTGGGGTTGCGTTGCATTGAAGAGTCGGACGACGGAGCACTTTTGGATAATTAGAAGTGATGTGCAGGGAAAATGCTGCTTAATAACGCAAGTGTCGTCAACGTGCACCAACGCAACCCAGTTTTCCCTGGATGAAAAGTACCTCGGTTTCCAGGCTGAGACAGGCGATGGTTTGTCGTTGATGAGGCACCGCACCCGGATCCGAAACGGAGGAGAGGGAGAGGGAGAGGGAGAGCCCAGAGAGAGAAGTAGTGAGGTACCTCTGTACCTATCAGATACGTACAAGTGGGAGAGAGAGAGAGAGTTCTGGGGTGGCGCGGCGCGAAGCGAAGAGGACATGGGCGATCAGCCTTCAGGTAGGTAGGCCACTTGATGCTTGAGTAGCGTGCTCGCCCTACGTAGAGTGACAGAGAATCAGGACTGCCAAGGCCCGTATGGGTTCTCTCGCAATGTTCGGCTCGGTGAGGATGGTGGGAACGACTGTGTGTTCGGAGAGAAGCTGAATGTCAACGGTGAGGTGTGAAGGAAGCAAGCTTCATCTACGAAGTACATTGTGATTCCACAGTACAAAGGTACCTTACCTTCCGCAGTCAACCATCAGATGGATGGTGCGAGATACGTACCGAGCGGTACCAAGCGACGAGACATCTAAGCGAGCTACCACCCAAGGCAGTCTAGGGGCGGGTGTCTCCTCGACGGGAAGGTGGAAAGGCAACCCCTTTTCCTCTTGCACAATGCACAGGGAGTCTCCGCGTGCAATTTTTTCTCTCTTCCCCAGGCCATCACACCAAGGTAAGGATAGACTCAATTCAACCTTCAGGTGGCTCAGCACGCTCTAGGCTCTAGCAATGACAGCAGGCCCGGCGATTGGTCCGTCTGCAGCATCGGTGAAGATGCCGTGTATGGGTATCCAAGAGGGTAGCTGCAGGTCCCGTAGGGTGGCATCAAACCTTAAGCATGGGGATCGCGCTTGCGGGCTGGATAGGTAAAAAAAGGTTGCTCGTAATGCTTGTTGTTATTAAGAAGGGGTTTTGTTCAGAACCCATGGTAATGACTGAGTATACGCCTACGCCTGTCCAACAAAATGTTTCTAGGGTTGCCGAGAAGGCATTCGTACGGATAACTTTTGACATGTGCGAAGAGACATTGCCATTCTAGTTGCATCTTGGATCCCGCCGAACGCCGCCGTGTAGCGGGCACACCCCGTCCTACCTTACTTTAGTTGAAGGTTGAGACATTCTGCACCCGATTACCATTCGATTATTAGCTTATTGCTCAAGGCAACTAGACTTGGGCCAGAAACCCCCCCTGAGAGAGGAAACGAAAACTGCGCAGGAAAAAACTTGCGCATGACTATGTTGTATTATCTGCGACCCATGAAGACTGATTCCAGTCGGTGGCATCAGCCGCAACGCAACCCAGCTTTATGCAATACAACACCGCATAGCAAGCGAACATGAACTCCCACACATGCTCGCCTATCCGTGGTGGACGCTTGTGACCGAGGTATTATTCCGACTCGATCTAGACAACAACCTGCATATAGACTGCCTGCACGGAATGCTGAGTACCGCAGACGCGAGACTCACTTTCAGCTGGTCCAGGTTTTCCTCTCCTAGCCTAGCCTAGCCAGCATCATTACTTCATGAAGGAGGGCGGCCTATGTTCGTATTTCCTCGTCCATACGCGCGAGAGGACAGAGACCATCTTTGTTTGCACTTACATGTCCGATTTCTTCCTTGCGCTAAAGCCAGGGCCATGGACAGTGTGTCCCTATAGGTCTATGAAGGCTGCAAGACAATTTTGCTCGGGGAAAGGGAATTTTACCCAGCAGAAAGATAGGTAGTTGCCTCACAGTTTCTTAAGACATACAAGTTGATAAACAGAGCATACTATGGCAGCGACTAACAACAAGCGGGCAAAATTCAGAACAATGACAGGTCTGAACTAGGGTACTCCGTAGTTGTGCAGGTTCACTCCCGAGCCGGGAAACCGGAAATCCCGGGGCATGTGTATGATCCGAGGGCGGGCGAGACGGGTAAGGTAAAGTCGTCAGTGATCGGAAGCCCATTCCAGTGGTCGAACAACGAGACACTACACACGTGTCCGGACGGAGTAGCGCGCCGATGAGGTGCTCAATCGTTCAATATCATGAGAAAGGGCGTGAGACCGGCGAAAGCCACTTTGGTCGGAAATGCCCCCACATTGCAACTAAGTCCCAATGAGGTAATGGTTTCGATAACCGCTAGCTGATTATCTCACCTCTAGCCCAAGACAATGATTGTGCACTAACACGGCAGTGCACGGGTGCCAGAGGATCACGGCCCCTCTGTGTCTCTTGGCAGAATAAGCGTATGTCAAGATCGTGACCCTTAGTAAGGCCGCGGGCGACTCTTATCCAGGCCCTTGACGTGGAATCTCACTGTCTCGATATTTAGTCAAGGCATACACAATAGACAAGCTCAGGGCCTAGGTTGTGGGCTAAACCACGACGAAATACTAGGTAATGCATTTCTATTTACCTCGCTTGCCAAGATACGCAATTGACATTCTGGGTTAAGCTCAAGCGCCTCTGGCTGAGACAAGAAAACATGGCTATTGAGATGATCGAGGCGTTACAAACATGAGTTCCAAGACCGATTGAAGATACTGTTAGGTAAGATACTAGGTAAGCTGGTGCTCGGTGGATCTATAGCTCAGTGTATAAGTCAGACTGGGAAAGGATCAAACCCGGGCGGGAAGGACCCTGACTCAAGGGGTGCACGTGCAGGAGACGGCAGTGAACAGGACGAAAAAATTGATAAAAGAAATGCGCGTTGAAGAATCATCTAGGAGACAGCAACTTGGAGCAAGAACATCCTACCTCATTGGAGTGTGTAAGAACAGAGGTACCTGTACGAGTGATTGGCAATTGCATGAAACAAGGACCCCAACCCTGCGCGCCTGCCCTGTTCGGAACGTGAGATCAAATAAAAAAGAAAAAGAGGGAAGGGCCGTCCAGGTTCCCGCTGTGCCTGCGCATTCAACATTGCTCCAAGACCTAACTCAGGTATTCGTGGAGTGCTACCTAGGTAGGTAGAGTCGATCCCTGAAGAAGAAATCCGGAATTCTGGAATTTAGGCCGGTGAAACCGGGAGGCATGGTTTGGCGACAGGAAGGGGGGCCGGCAGGCGAAGGTGGCTTCCCACTCGGATCCATTGACGAGCAAGGAAGGAAGGAGGGAGGGATGGAGGCAGTCACCCATCAACCCTCCAAGCTCAACCCGGGCAGGGGAAGCGGACGCTTGCGGAAAGCTGGCTCATGAGGTGCCAACCACCTACCTAGGTACCTACCTACCTTACCTTACTCCGTACACATAGGGCACGGATAGATAAGGAAGGAGACGGGAAACTACCAAGTTGCCCGAACGCCTCCCCAGTCCCCACGCTCCCTTAGGTTTGTAGTGCTTCTTGCCCAAAGTACCTTATCTTGATACTAGAACCCTTGAGAATGGAAGTTGAGGTGGACTCCCGCTTGCCTCATACCTAGGCTTGGCTAACGTTCCTGCCTACCCGCGAAAGGAAGGCAACGTAATATTTCAGGATGAGGATTCAAAGGTGCCGACAAATCTTGGCTAAAGTTCTTTGCTATGCCATTAGGTTTCCGAGGCAAGGTACCTAATATGGAAACGGTACTCCGTACGAATACAGATGCAGAGTAATAAGGCAAGGTACCACCATGAAGTCTTGCCTACCAAAACCCCGGTCGCTGCTACCCTTGCGGACATCCTACGGGTACGGACACGGGGGCCGGCGGTTGACGATGTGGAGACCAACGTGCCCGGTGAGTTCAAACTTTGCAAGAGCCCGGCAGTTGTGAACTTTCGTACACTATTTGTCTCCCCGGTTTCCTTGTCATGGTGGAAACAACAACACAATCTTCAGATACAACATGATCTATCCGTATTCTGTGCACCTTGGTGCTGTTGCATCGCCTGGTTGATATACAACCTTCCTTCGCTCAGGTAGGATACCTTATGAAGAAGTATTGCTTGCTAGCAGATCGAAAGTTTTGGTACTTAGCCGGACCAGTACTCTGCCTTACGTAAGTTAGCCACGGAGAAGGTACCTTGCGGATACCTTAACTTGAGGTAAGAACCATCGCTGCTTGCCTGCCCGAGTTGCCCGCACAGGCCACATCGTGTCTTTCCCATTCCCAAGGACAGGTTCCACTGGCAGATCAATCAAGACATCTCTTCCTATCCGTTCCATCGATATCCAATCTGGTGAGAATCTCCCACATCATAAAACCAAGAACCACAGACGCAGCACAAATCTGGCACAATCACTCATCGGGGATCAACTGACTGCCCACGCTCGGCTCAACTCCTGTCCCTCGCCCATACCGGCCCCCTTCTAGTCAACTCGCTTCGAGAAAGAGGGAGAGACATGGCGCCAGACGCCTAGCCCCCCTGGCTGACAGCAATTCCCAAGGGACTGGAAATGGTTGCATGCACCTCAGGACATACCCCCTCCTTTTGGTATTGTCTCCAGACCCACGAGTCCAAGACGCCGCAATAGCAATTTCCCCCTCCTTCGCTCTCCATCGCCCTCTCTCGCGAGCAGTAACTTGCAATACGGAGTACACATCCACCACGTTCAGAGCCAGCTTTATCCAAGCTATGCCGAGACCTCGATGCTCGCTCAGCCCGCAGGGCTCAGGAGCCTGTCCGACAAAGCCTGGGCCAGCCCACTACTGCGTACAGCAGACAGATCACAGAGGCACATTCTTTTACCGATGCGTATTTCAAGGAGCTAATACCAAGCTTGTCATGGATGGAAATCCATGGCGTTCGCCCTGCTCGTCTGACGGTCCCATACCAGAGGCAAAAGGGAAACCCCCTCGACGCGCTCGAATCGATGGCGTATCCGTACGAGTATACTACAAAGGCGCAAACACTGTGAACCCTCCCCCGGGAATGGGTCTCGACACTCACCCGACCGACCTACGAATACGCTGAAAGGGTGCGATATATCCTAGCTTGGGTTCGTGGACCGCACAATTGGCATCCACTCAGCGATCACTCCATGTCGACGGTCGACGCCAGCGCCAACGCCAACGCCAACACCGGCAAACCCACGACCACCACGGCACCAACAACACTACCTCACCCACACCCGCGCCCAGGATCACTACACGCTAGCTGTTACGACGGGAGCACTGCAAATTGAGAAAGGTCTCTAATCCACCTCGTCTTCGTAATTCGGCAAACGAGAGAGTCCGATCAGCCCAATCGCCTGATCAGTGCTCCAGATTAAATGGAGTCCCCTCTGAATCTGATCCTCGCAACATTCTTGGCCC